AGAAAGTTTAAAAAGTTTTTGATCCAGTCATTCGAAACTCTGTGGCAATTTCTTTATCTTGCCTGATAGTTTGGAATTTGGAATAGAAAGTATGTTTATCTAGTTTCCTAGGGTGTAGATGAACATTTTGTGACAAAAGAAGATTTCCCTGTTCTATTAAAGCGCAACCTTTCAATGTATCAAAATCCCTTACGCTCCTGGTGCGCGATGCTGATTTTGCGGCTGACGGTCGGCGGGGCTTTTTGCTTGCCGGGCGCGTTGAGCGTCATCTCGCCGGGTTGCACGGCGCGCGGGAAAGCTTTGGCTCCAATGCTGAACAGATCCATGCGGACCATCCCATCGTCGGCCATCGACACCTTGCACCCGTAGCACCACCACACGTGCTCGTGGTAGAGGTACATCGGGTTCAGCGTCACCGTTTTCCCATCTTTCAGCACCTGTAGAAGTTGATATAGCTTTATCTCGAGTAGGCTTAGCTGCAAGACTTTAAAACGTACCTAGAACTTCCCATAGTAGAGAAAATAATTTTTTTTGTAATGAAAAAAAGCGGCTCACATCATCGAGTTGCCGGCGGTGCAGCGCAAACGAATAGTCGAATTCGATGGCGGGCGCGTCTGCCGGCGTGAACTGCTCGTAGCTGCGCCCATTCTCGTAGCAGCACTCCATGACTAAAAGCGAGTTGAGATCGACAATACGGCAACTCACTCGAAAAGATCTCACGCTCCTCGGCGCCCGGCTTCTCGTGCAGCGCAAACAAGTTGCCAGTCGACTAAAAAGCAGTGTTTTTAAGATCTAGCTTTTACTCTCATTTTCAAGAAAAAGCCTGCTAAAATGCTCACCAAGTTGCAGATCCAACCGCCTGTCTGTTTGGACGCCATTTTCATGAAATGACCATCATCTTTAGCGGTTTTGAGGGTGAACTTTTGCTTCCGGAAATGTACTAAATTTTCTACGCAAATTTTTGATGTAAAAAATTCGAAGCGGTCTTTTTATTGAGCTTTTTCGCAAAGCTGAAAATACCGTTCATTTCGATTAAAACGCGAACTCTAGAAAATACCAATAATTATCAAAACCTTGTTTGCGCGAAAGTAAGTCCATCTGCAAAGCAAAACTAAACAAGGCTATGGATGAATTTACAAATCCATTAGCATTGATTCCTCGAATATAAATTTGCATAGTTTCTAACGGTAAGAAAAGGCCCGTTGCGCGCCATAATTGCAAAGTTTTCTGGCAGCGATGGCGTCCGCTGTGACCCAGGTATTTTTATTTGTTTCTTTACCGCTGTTTCGTTTAGTCCCGGGAAGCCGACGAGATCGATGCGTTCTTCTCGACCGTCCGCGACAAGAAGTACCAATTGGTCGTCGAGTTGAAGTCGGAGTCCTTCTGACACTTTAAATTTTTGATTTTAGCTGTTCGAAGGGCGTGAAGGAGCAGCTCGGGAACGCGCGCGAGCGGTTGAGGAAGTTGAGGGAGCGGGCGGACGGGATGATCAAGGTTTGCTTTCGCGCCTTTCTGAAAAGTCTAGTTCTATTTATTTTCATAGGTTTTTACACATGCTTTTATCTCGGCTCCCGGTTGTCCTACAGGACTGTCAAGTATACGAAAATACTCACCGAAGGAAGACGAACATTTTCGTATGCTTTACGTCCCTATAGGGTCAACGGGGAGCAGAGATATCAAAGTTTAGATTCCACTGGGGCGGGGGAAACCGCTGGCTTAGCTTATTTCCTAAAATACACACCTTTTCAGGCCAAATACTCGACATTGCCCTCGTTCCGCGACAGCCTCAGCAAAGAGCTGGCCAACTCGGTGAAGCGCAGCGAGAAGTGGGAGCTGAACCCGCCCGGATCTGATTTCGGGTATATTTTCTTCTACGTTCTTTCTGACTGACTTTCATTTAGCTACTCGGTGGACGAGCGGGCCGACGCAGCTGAGAAGCGCCTCACCCGTCTTGCGGTCAAGGCGCGCAACATGGTGCCGGTGAGAGGCTTATTACTATTCCATATTGGGTACAATTTATATTTTATTACCCAGCTCTATCAATCTTTTTTCTGTGAGCGAGGCCCTTGCCAAAAAAGATAAGCTAACTAGATAAAATATACAAAATAAAAAAAGCCGTTTATTTTTAGCTGGAAGCCCACCTCCAGAAAAACGGGATGCTCTACAGCCGTGACGACGACACTCTGCGACTCGTCGACGGTGTCCTCCACGATGTCCACAAGAGGGTATGTTTATTGTAGTTCACAGCATTTATAAAGATCGTCACGGTTTTACAATTACATAGTTTTAGCTTTATTTTCTAGCTGACCGAAAAGCGCCACGCGGTGCTGAACGTTCCGTGCCTCGACGAGACGATCGGCTACGGGGGCAGCTGCACCATCAACGACAATTTTGGGAGGGTTCGTTTTTGTTCACAACACTGATCTTTATGTTGTTTAGTCGGTGCAAGCGATCTCGTCGCTCGTCCAGGCGCTCCAATATCTGCGCGAGTATCCCGAGATTGTTGGCAATGGTACGCGGTGGTTTTAGGTTGGATAATTCTGTTCTTTTAGCGGATTCCGCCGAAATCGACGCCCTTCACGCCGAGCTGAGCCACTTCCTGAAGGTGTTGGACTATAGGGTGGGATTACTTTGTTCATGCAGTCGTTTTCAAGTGGTAAAAATCGCTAAATTGCCAAAAAAATGGACATCTCAACAAACTTTCTTCGCTAAAAATGATGTCCCATTCCAGCTGAGCCAGACCCGTGTCTACAGCCCAACGACGGATCTGATGAAGCCCCAGCCGGCGCCGATCTTGCGCAGCCTCAGCGCCCACTTCTCCACGGACACCACCTCCGACACGCGCTCCGTCAGTCTGCGCCCGTCGACCGATTCCGAGAATTCGTTCGTGGCGGACGCGGATGTGTTGACGGCTGTGGCGCCTTGTGATCGCCATGCTCGTGGGTGTATCCTTAGTATTTCTTAGTATTTTTTCTTTTTTAGCCACTCCCGAATCGATCACGCCGCGCGTCGCCGTTGCCCACCCGAGTCTCGCCAATGGCGTCCAGCTCAACGAGGTACTTATTCTAAAAAATATGCTATCAGAATTTGCCGTGAATTCCAGAGTGCCCTGTCCGCCTCACAGCCGATGTCCGCTTCCGAGGAGCGGGTGCTGATCTACGGCCGCGTCGCCTCGCCCCTGATGCGCATCTAGAGTCTCACCCTCGCCGACCTCTCTCGACTTGCCCCCTCAACTTACAAAGAAGCTTAACCCTCATTGCCGTCTCTTTTCTACGAGATCACTTCTTATTCGCTGTCTGTCGTGTTTGCCTTTTCGCTGCTGTGTGCCCGAATAAAGGATTTTGTTGGGCGTTGAAGTTTTTTCCAGCCGGCCTGAACTCCTCCAAGTCGATCGTTCGCTCCCATTTTCAACAATTTTTGTTTCTGTTTCAGTTTCCCCGGGTTTCCCTTTGGTGACCAACCAAACGCTTTGCACTAACTGAGGGTCCGGAAATCGAGCCCCCGAGCCCCAATCAGCCCCCCACAAATCCTTGCCCGAGCTTCTCGCCCCCTCAAATGTCGACATGCATTTTCTCAACTATATTCCGGTCTTTTCCATGATACTCCAGAAAACAAGCGCGTTGACGTGTCTCAGCTGCTTTGGGGACTCGATGAACTCGTCGTGCTATGCGGGCCCCGATCTCGTCGCCCACGGCATGCAAACGTGTGATGGGGAATGCCAGGTATCGGGGGTTTCGACGATGTTCGAAGCTTATATATCAGAAGCGGACGACAAAACGGTACTGATCTGTTAGCGGGGGAAGGGGTTTGACTACCTACCCACAAAAGTTGTATAGCGCTTTACGGTGTAACTTTGTCGTGTTTTTGGTAATTTTTTGCTTACTATAAGCAGGTTAAACTACGACCAAAGTTAGGAGGCCCTCCCCCCGCTAAGAGTCCAGTACCGACAAAGTTTCCGTTAAAGGTATGGAAAGTGCAATCCGAAGTAACGGGTGACGTCTACATGTTTGAGCGAACGTGCTCGCAAGTGTGCAAGGACGGCTGCACGCACATTGCCGATATGGAACACCGTTTTATTTCGTAGGTGTAAACTCTATTTTGTAGCCCTGTTGATTTAAATTCTTCTTTGAAACTGATTTAGCTGTGGAACGTGCTGCGCCGAGGATTTGTGCAATAAGGGCAACCTTACATCCTCAAATCGGTGGTCCTGGCCGCGCCTTCTAATAGTTTTGTTTCTTGTTCTCATTAAATCGTGATAACGCTATTTCGAATTGTGTTGCAAGTCAAAAATAGACATTTTTATTCACCATAAAACAGAATGCATACCGTATAAATATCTGGATCTTTCAAGAGTTTGAAAGATGCGCGTGCGGTGAAAATTTTGACCGCCAATTGGATGCGCTTCAAGATACATAGTTTTCAACAACAAAAAAATGTTTCATCGTTATATACAAAGTACTCGGCGGTTTAGAGCATCAGTTTGCTCGGTCGGCTCGAACCTGAAGAAAGCTTCTGATGCAGCGAGGGGCCAGATCAAAAGAAAAAACGAGGGACCAACACTCGGGGTGCCAACAACGAGAGATCGATATTTGACAGGTTTTCCAGAAAAAAGAGGGAGGTGAATTCAGATATCAAAAGAGCGGAGGATCATTTTTTTTGGGGGGGCGGGGGGATAGAATGGGGGCGAGAAATCACAATCTTTGTTGACAAAGAAACAGCCGAACAGTACCCGATTGTCGATAACACAACGAAGCTCGGTTGAGTGGGCGGATTGCCGTCGGTTGGCACTTTTTAGGGGGGCGGTAAAAATTCTATTTTTTTTGCCCCTAGGAGTGCCAATTCCAGACAATCAGAAATTGAAATCGGTATAGAAATGCGGAGATCAACGATTGGGATGGGGGAAAACTTTTAAAGGGACGGCAAGGAATTTTTTATGGGTTTGGCTCCGTTGCGACACGAAACGCACGCCTTTGATCTCGTAATCGATTAGGAAATTATACAACGTCGCACGGTTTGTTAGGTAGCAGTTAAACTTTGTCAAGTAATCCTACTATATATAAAAAAAATAGTGTTTGTGTGTGTGTGTATGACACTTTGCATGCAACTTCCGTCAGGTTGTTCCAGTCGTATCTCAAGAAGGAGAGTAGTTAAGATCATGTTTGATACGTCATTAGATGCATAATGTCCAGGAGATGACTGCACACAAATCAGATTTATGAAAATCGTCTATTTTCGACATTAAATTTTAGTTTTTGTTGAAAAATCCGTCACCCTCTTTGTTAGGAAACAATTAGCATATACCGGAAATGGGGAGAGCCTATATAAAGTAGCAGAGAGCGCATTTTTCACTTTTTTCAGCGTGGGTCGTGCCGAATTATGCAACGTGTAAACTTTCATTGGGTTGGACGGGTGCCAGGGTTGAAAAGTCGCGAAGCGGCTTTTCAACCCTGGTGAACATTAAGTTACTAATACGCGTAACTAGTTTTACGGTATCCGCTGATACTTTAAAGGTAAAAAATAATTATACTCAGCCGTACGAAATTGGCAATTTACGGAAAAACGTAATCGATTACGTAACGAAAGTTAAAGGAGCGTTACGTGTCGCGACGCGACCCAACCCATAAAAATGCCTTTCAGCTTCCTCACGCTGAGCCTTAGCACAACCCCATACTCTTCAGGTTCTTGGCGATGATCATGTCGAGACAGGCGTCGAGCACAAACTGTACATTGTTCGTGTCGGTGGCGCACGTGTGATGGCAGTAGATCTCGCGTTGCGAGGAGCGGTTCAGCTGAAATTTCTGGTTGTGGGTATTGTTTTGCTGTCGTGCCGGGGTTGGGGGCTCCGTTAAAAAGGCCCCACCTGTTCGAACTTCCACTGGATGTAGTTGATGCACTCGGTTTGGTTTTGTTGGCCTAAAATTGGTGGTTATTTTTGCGCGCTAATACTTGGATTTAGACATTTTTTGGGTCTAAATTTACTGGTTTTTAATATTTACGAATTTTGGATTCTGAGCCCAAATTTTTCATTTTTTGTTATTTACTGCTTAGCACTTACCCTTGTATTCCGGGAAACAGATCGTCAGCGGCGATCGCTGGATCTTTTCGGCGAACAGGTCCTTTTTGTTCAGGAATAGAATAAAGTGAATGTCGGCGAACCAAGGGCTGTTGCAAATCGAGTCGAACAGCTTCAACGATTCTTGCATCCGGTTCTAAAATTTAGTGGTTTCCGCGCCCAAATTGCCGAGAAATGTATGTATCTTAATCGTAGTATATTTTCCTGTAATAATCTTCAAAGATAGCGAAAGAAGCGTACCGTGCAATTGTCCTCGCGTAACGTCTGATCATATTCAGATAGTGACGAGATGAAAATGATGGCGTTCACGTTGTCAAAGCAGTGAATCCACTTTTTTCGTTCTGATCGCTGTCCGCCAACGTCGATGACCCTAAAAAAGCGTTAAATAAAATTAACACACATTAAAAACTCGCCTAAACGTGAGCCCCTTCAGCTCGAAGAGCACCTCGGTGATGCCGGTCGTTTTGATGCGGGTCCGGAGGAGATCTTGCTCCGTTGGCACGTAGTTTGGCGCCGATAGCCGGGGCAAATTGTCGAGGAAACTAAAAACAATGATATAAAACCCTAAAATAAAATACACAATAAAAATTTTTCTAATAGAAATTTTTAGCTCCTTTCCGGCCTACTCCATTCATGACGAGTTTCGCACACCCCGACTACACCGCCCTTTGCGCACCCCCACAATTTCCTGTGTTTGTTTCGATTTGAAAAGTTTAAAAAGCAAAGCAGCTTTTTCGCGAGCGTAACCCCCACATTTATCGGGGGCAATTATAATTATTATGCGGATCCCCCCGTCATTGAGACAGAGGCACAAATTCGGGTTTTTGTGGGTGATAGCGGCGTGCGCAGGGCCCGGCGGCTCTAATTGGCACCCTTCCAGCAATGACATTCAGAGGACAAAATTTTTTGGGGTATAAAAAGTGCGCGGTCGTATGAATGGCTGTGGTTTGCTGCGGGGTAATGGCTATAAAAAAACTTTAATTGACTCAATATAAATCTGTAAGAATGCATCGTCATACGTTATTTAATGGCGCAGATCATTCGTAAATAACCGTAAAAAACGTACTACTTGGCTGAGTCGTCAATCTGGTACTCGTTGCTGCGCCGGTAGCACTCGCGGACCCCCGAGTCGGCCCATAATCGTTGCATCGCCTAGGAGAAGCCTTTTAAAGGGCCATTGAAGACAAACCGCGGCGAGCTCCTCGGTCAGCTCCTCCTTGTTGGCGTGCACCGTGGCGAAGACGAGCTGGCTGTCGCGCTGGAAATGGTGATTTTTTTAAGGAAAGTGACTTTTCCTTTTCGCCTCTGAACGTTTTTATTCTATGCACTCGCTGCTAAGATTGGATTTATATAATTTTGCAGCCTTGCCTGGAAAATAGCTTTTAAGTATTTCGGGTCGGTCTGGCCGCGGCACGCAACGCGTACGAGTTTTAGCGCGCGTTGCGTGTTGCGGTTTCGGCCAGATCTATAGAAAATCCTCGAAAAGTGCCGCGCTTTCAAAGAAAAGTTGCTAAGGTGCTTAGAAATGACCCAGAAAATGACGATTTTCAAGATTTTTCGAAAATGCGCTTTTTCGACGAGATGGTTCTCGAAGATATGAGTTTTCGGACAAGCCCCGCTATGCCTTGTCCAACCATTTAACCTCCTCATTTTTCCACACCCCCTCGGCCCAAAACAATTGTGGGACGGCGTGCGTTGAGGCGAGCCACCCAGCCGAGGCCCCTCCCGTACGTAACCCGAGGGCTTTTTCCTCGTAAATAATTCGAAGGAGGGCCTCTCTGCCAGCCAGCCCAAAGGAGGCGCCTCATATTCCGGATGGCAACTATCGCCATAAAACAGCGGTTCGCGCCCGCCGCGATGAAAGGACCGCCCGGCCGGGCCTCATTTCTTTTGAACGCCTCGCTGCCCTCGCACCCCTTCCCGGCTACGGTAGATGTACGACATCGGAGGGCAATTTATGGGAAATTGAAAATTAACTGGCCTTTTTGCAAGTGTAATTTGGTGCATTGCGTAGCGGACGGGCGAAATGAATTTTGGAATTGGCGAAATGGCGGCGAGCTTTTAGTTTTGCTTCCGATTTGTAGAAAAAAAAGGAAGCCTATCTCGAGCACAATTTTCCGCTGATTCCGAATCTGGCTTCAGAATTGCGTAAACAGTCAAAGTTAGAAAGTTACAACCATTTTTTTCATACCAAAGCGGCATATCTTTTCGATTCTGCACCCTAAAATTCGCCTGTAACTTTGGAAATATCATTTGTCCGCAAATTCCGAAGAAATATTGGATCAGTTCTGCACAATATAGACTTGGTGCCATCCACGAAATATAAGCTGCGTAAAAATTAGCCAAAAACCAACCACTCGCTCCGGCTCGCCGTACTCGATCTGCAGGTGGAACATGGCGCGGAGGATGCTGAGCATCGAGTGAATGCAGTTACTGAAGGGCCAGGTTATAGAATTTTGAACGCTAACCGCTAAAAACTACATTCGAAGTCGGCTCACCTAAAAACCACGGGCCGTATCATCTCGAGATCCTGTTGGGAGAAGCCGTCTTTGTGCAAGATGCGCATCTGCTTCAGAATAGTGCTCTTCCCGCTCTCGCCGGCACCTGGAAAATGTTGTGTCAAATTTGGTACGTAGTACGCGTACTTAAACCTATTTTACGCTAACGTATATACGTAAGCCATGTTTGCCCGTAAACCTAGATGCCCAAGATATATTTTTACGCATGTAAGCGTATTTTTACATGAAAAGCTCGTAGTTTATCGTAGCTGAATTTAAAGCTTTGCATGTAAACTTTTGTTACGTACCTAATTTTAGTAAAACCATTCAAAAGTGTTACTTTTTCAATTTTTTTTTGTTGTTGTATCACGTTTCCTCTTTTTCCCCCTGAGCCTCACCTTGGCCCCAGCATTGGTCCCTGGCCCCTTCCTCCCGAGATCCCAGCCAAAAAGGCCCAAGCCCCCCACGAAATGCAATCTGGGGGGCATTGGGCGGGGGCGGAGGAGGAGAACGAGAAGAAGCAGGAGAAGGAGGCAGAGCGGGAGTTGGGCCCCACCAAGGAGGGCGCGACCCCTATAGGGGCCCAGCGGAGAGGGCCCAATTAGGGCCCACAACCTCGGCGAGGCTCAAATCCGCGGGCCCTGTGGGGTCCTCAGAACAGCCCCCCACCCCGTCTTTTCACTTTCGGGGGGCCAGCTGGGAAAATGACTGGCCGGAAGCCGGGAGAGGGCTCAGATATGCAAAAAAAACCAGGTGGAGGGGTTTAAAGGGGCCGGGAAGTTGCCGTAGCAGCGTTTCGAGAACTGCTATCAGCATATCGAACTTCGTAATGCCGAAATGCCGAACCCCATAATGTCGAAATTTCAAGACAAAATGACGAAAATTTTGCGAAAGATCTGTTAAGCTTAAACTTTCAAAATTTTACTTACGAAATTATGAAATTTCGAGATTTCCAAAGATGGACTATGAAGTCCAAGAATCGACCCATTCCCTCTTCTAGGTCTCGACAGCTACGCACGATTCCAAATGACACTTTTACGCACTCCGCAGCCTTTCCAGAGGTGAATTTACTCAAAATCTATATGTTCATGCTTTGCCCGCCCCTTTAAAATTTATCTTTACTGCTGGAAGACGCCAGGTTCCGCGCCAATCCCTTCCCCCATCAATATCCCGAACCCGAGCCGCGTTCCCCGTATTTCCGGGATCCGTCCGGGTGGTTATGATGAGAGAAGCGGCCCATTCTTATTGCTAGGCCCCCCATATTTTCTCCTGGGCCCTCAGCCCTCCCCCTCTAAATCGCCCCCCGAGGGCAAATACCCGGACAATGGTTTTGGCGCTGAATCTCGGCCAGCCGCCACCCATCCGCCCCAACAAATGCCCTCAAGTGAGGCTCATAAAATTGGGGTGGCCAGGGCGATGATGGGCCCTTTGAAGCGGTGTTGGGCCCCAGGGCAGCTGCTCCAAGGGCCCCAAGGGTCGAGAGGTCAGTCGTGAAACCTGTGAAGACATCAAGAAACTGGCGAGAGCCAGAAAGCCAAAGTCGACGGAATGGGTTGATTTTGATAGCTGCGAAAGGCCTGAAACGGAAGGAGAATTTTCTAGAGTAAATTTTCTAAACAGACCCAGATTTTTTCTTAAATTTCGATGCTTTTCCTGGAGTTTTTATAATATTTTTAATGGACTTTTTATACTCTAAAACGGCGTAAAAAGCACCTAAATTGCGCCTTTCCCCTTACCGTTCTCCTTACCCCCCCGCTAAAGAACCAGCACCGAACCCTGCCACTGGATTCCCCTTTTCACAGCTAGCACTTCTCCCCCATTCTCGCCCCCGGCGTCAATCCGATTCTTTTCGGGAGGTCAAAAATAGTTGGTGTGGCGCCCGCTGGGAGGCCCTCATTATGCGTTGGGTCCCCCGATCCAGTCCTCCGTGCGCCCCTCATCCTCCCCCTCCTCCTCCATTCCCATCGGCCTCAACACGTCACAAATCAACGGCACACCGCCTAATTTCGAGAGCCGCCACCGCTCCGCCGAGCCCCAGGCCGCCCTCCTGGCTCTTCCGAGCCGCCGAGAAATTGCGGAAGTATTGACCTCTCGCGGACGGGGCTGGCCGCGCCAATTTTCAATCCGCCCCTTCCTGGGGGTGGCCGAGAAAAAAATTGTTGGCGATGTCTGGGAGGGTGAAAGGAATGGTGTCAGTCGAAAAGTGTCAAAAGTCCATGGAAATCCAACATTTTTAGAAATGCACGGGATTTTCGCCTTAAAAGGAACCCGACGCAGCATTTTTTGAGATTTTTGACAACGCGGTGCTGCTTTGGACTGAACCCTTTTTGAAGGGACCTAGAAAAGCCAAAAATTGCGTAGCCCCACCGTTTTTAGGTAATTTTTCCACCGCCAAAAACCCAATCCCTGTTATCCAGAAACTCTGCCAACCTAGCAACATCTGTACCCGTCCGTCCATTCCCAAATTCCCCTGCGGTCTTCCCACGCCGAGCCCAAATTCGGGGTGACACTTGTTGAGGCGGATATCGCGTGCTCCGATCTCTTCGCCTCCTCCCCGGACGCCCATTTTCTTCTTGGCCACCGTACCACGACGTCAGTAGCCTTTTTAAAGGGACAAAGACGGATTTTTAGGAATCGATTAAAAGTGAATACACTCCTACTACAATCTGGGTGAATATCGGGTACATTTTCATTACACCGGGTTTTTTCATAGGGGCTATGAAACATCTATAGCCCCCCTATAAATAGGGGGTAATTTTTTCGATTTGGTACCAGCCCTGCTCTTTCTTCCCCATTCGAAGAAACCCACTAAGGAGGCATGTGAAAGGCCATAGTAATAATAACTGGCGGGTCCGTACCAAAATACAAAATACACGCCGAAAAAATCCAAAAATCCACCTAGCAACAATAACTTGATGATCCGGAGGGACATGCTTTGGTCTTTCCGTATCTGCTCCTCGATTCGTCTGTTCAACTTCTTTTGATCCTGAAAAAAATCAATAAAATACGTTGTCGATAGGTTTATGGTTATTTGCCAAAGCGTTGTCTATAGTTTCACATTATAAAACCAGCGCCCAAAACCCGCTTCGCGGGCCTTGGGCGCTGGAATGCGGCCTTTGCATGAGAAATTTGACTTTCCGATAGCTTGGGTCCTTCGGAACCCTCCCTTCCTGCGACCACACCCGCGCGTGCAACTTTCAAGAATGAGGAAATTTGTATTTTTTGGAATTATGCAAAGTAGCCTTCCCTGGCGCCGGACACACACACACACAAAGATACGCGACCAAATTATATAAGGTAGGACTATACTTTTAAGGCTTGGAAACTCGGTTTTTAGCCATTGGCGATTTTTTCCATTGATCAAAGGCAATCAGCAAATGTCGTACGGTTTGCACAGTGTCATTTTCTTCAGAAATCGTTATATGTCATTAAAAGGCCGTTTGCGGGTGGACCGAAATAGGCTTGGCACAGTTTTTCGACCCTGTTTTTTTTGACTGCATCGGATAGAGCATAGTCGAATTAGTAGGGCTGCATAGTTTTGAAAGTTTAAAAAGTTAATTTTTAGTGTTTAAATGGGCCTCAAAGTTGCCGACCCCGAAAAACTATCTCGAAAGCTACTGCACCGAATTTGCTGAAAAATTGTGACAATACCTAATTTGAGATGGCGATCATTTCTCTAATACATCGCAAAGCGCTAAAATAGCCGCAACATGGCTAAATCGAAAAGTAAAACCAGTTTTTTGAGATTTTCGAATATTTAGTATTCCGAGCGCAACTTGAAACTAGCATAGAAAGATGCGCGAGATTTTTCTGCATCGATTGGTGTATCGTTTAGCTTGCACTAGGAATACTAACATTGAAAAAAATCGCTATTTGTAGGCGAAAAACGCGGAAAAAATGCCCCATAAAAATACAAATTTGTTAATTTTGTTAATCTGAGGTATCAAAACGCATCTAGAAGCCAAGCTGAAGCGATTGCAAAAAAGAGCAAAAAGATATTTCCTTTCTTTCGAAGTCGCGGAATCGAACCCGGACCTTCCGCCTGGGAGCCCTGTGGCGCAATGAGTAGAGCGTCCGCGTACCAATCCAGAGCCGCCGCTAGTTCAATCCCGGCCCCCCTCTTCGAAGCCGAATTTCTTTTTGCTCTTTTTTGCAATCGCTTCAGCTTGGCTTCTAGATGCGTTTTGATACCTCAGATTAACAAAATTAACAAATTTGTATTTTTATGGGGCATTTTTTCCGCGTTTTTCGCCTACAAATAGCGATTTTTTTCAATGTTAGTATTCCTAGTGCAAGCTAAACGATACACCAATCGATGCAGAAAAATCTCGCGCATCTTTCTATGCTAGTTTCAAGTTGCGCTCGGAATACTAAATATTCGAAAATCTCAAAAAACTGGTTTTACTTTTCGATTTAGCCATGTTGCGGCTATTTTAGCGCTTTGCGATGTATTAGAGAAATGATCGCCATCTCAAATTAGGTATTGTCACAATTTTTCAGCAAATTCGGTGCAGTAGCTTTCGAGATAGTTTTTCGGGGTCGGCAACTTTGAGGCCCATTTAAACACTAAAAATTAACTTTTTAAACTTTCAAAACTATGCAGCCCTACTAATTCGACTATGCTCTATCCGATGCCGTCAAAAAAACAGGGTCGAAATAAACTGTGCCAAGCTATAATGGGGACTGTTCGAGTGACTCGCGGACGGCCTTTTAAATATTCATTTACGCTTTTAAAGAATAATTTGTATATGTTAATTTAAGGTATCTGAGCGTACTTTGAAGGTAAAAAGGAGTATTTTACGCGCTAAATACCGATGAATATGCACATTATTACAAGCGCCTTCTCGTCTAAACTAAAAAATTCAAAGTTTATACTTACCTTAGTGTCCTTGGACGCACAGTGACCCATTGTGAGGCGACGCGATACGACGGCTCGCCAAAGGGCCAACAGCCACGACGACGAAGCCACGGCGACGGAGAAAATACGAGGGCCGCGCCGGCAGACACCTGTACTAATGGGGTATTCAAACGTCCGGATATGAACGTGTCGTGCCAAAATTATACATGGTAGGATTAGAAACATGTTTTACGTTTTCTGGGCGATTAAAGAATATTTTCTGAGAAATTAATCTATTCCGGAATTCAGCGCTATTCCGGAATCCTGAAGATAATACAACAAAACGAGCCTAGAAAAGCCAGGAATTCAGCCCGAAAAAGAGGGGGGGAAAAGCCCCTCCCTCCACCCGGCCATCCCTGCAGACGGCCAGCCGCCCAATCTGCCGCTCCCAAATCTATCACAAGCGCCCCCAGGGATTCGGGAGACCCCGCAAACTTCCAAACAAGCCTCGAAGCGCCCCTTCCCCCCCCCATGATTTTCGTGGCAATGTGGGCGGTGAACACTGGCGACAACTAGGTCGCCCCCAAAAACAGCTTCGTCCCCGGCGGTTTTTATGAGCGCGCATATAGGTGGGGGGGTATAGCAGCAGCAACCCCATCCCAAGCCAAGAATTCGCTGCATTTTTGACGGGCCGGACACGGTAATAACGGCTAATTGGGGGTGGGTGGGTTGAAAACTTGGTGGGGACCGAAAAATGGCGTAGGCCGGATTAAATCGGATAGCAAATCCGGTCGCAGCAAATGGAAAAGCCCATTAAAACAGTAGTAAAACTCTGGTGGAGCTTGGAATATGTTAGAGAATGGCTGCATAAAAAAAGTGGTCTAGTAGCGGCGAGGCTGGCGATAATCCATGCATTTCTCACCAAAAACCAAAAAAACATCAATTTTTAAAAATTGCCTATAAACCTTTTAACGTTCTAAAAACCGCGTCATGCCGTAAATGAGCTTATATTTTATGATCGGCTCTAGGAAAAATAGGAATCAACTTAGTCCCCCCCCCGCTAAGTAAGCAGCACCAGGAAAGAGTTAATTACAATAATATTTAGAAGAAAAAGGGTTGAAAACTATCCGAGACCGTAATTGCCCTTTTGTCAATGGCGACAATCGGATACGCCGGGGGCAACGGAGAACGCCATTTTCACGGTTCGCCCCCGACGAGGATAGCGGGGCTGACGGCGGAAAGGCTTATGATGGGGGAGGGGCCAAAGGGCCCTCATTTGCCCCCGGTGGCTCGCGGCAGATCAATAGGCGGCCGGTCTCATCCCCCGGCACGCGACGCACCCCCTCCATTCATCCCCCCGCCCTCCCTCCCAACCATCATCAACACCTCCGCGACGACGGGGCAGACCGAGGAAGAGATTGGGCTAGCCGGGGAGGGCGGTAGACGCAGAATAGATCTCAAACTAGAGGGGCTTCAACAAGGCCCCAACCCGCCCCTGAAATACAGTGGTTCACATAGCTCTCGAAGAAAAATTTTTGAAAATCTGTAATGGAGATCCGAACGCGCCCAACCAATTTTGCGTGCCGGCTGCAAGGTCACCGGAAGCGTCTAAGATCTCAGCTTGCCAGAAGAACAAAAAGGCGCTTGACAGAATATTTCTCACACTAAAAGGGCTCCCAAAAAAAACTCCAACAGGATGCCGGAACTACTGTAATCTCTAAGGCTAAAAAGAGTCTTTTCAAAAAAGGACTTTTGGTTTTCACAAAAAGAGAGGAATTCTCGTGGCAACAAAAAGAGCTAAATTCCTTTCAAACTCTAAAAATGCCACAAAATGCGGGAACAACAAAAAATTGCTGGCTATTTAAAATCTTAAAAAATTCGGTACCATCCCAGATCACAGGTCAGGTCCACAGTTTAATTTCAAGAAAGTGCAAATAGATCATAATACAGAAATTATTTGCAAACCAAAACCGCTAGAAACTGGATCTGTCCATTTTAATAAGGTGCCAGCAACTTTTGGTTGATCCCACATTTTGTGGCATTTTTAGAGTTTGAAAGGAATTTAGCTCTTTTTGTTGCCACGGCTCTCTCTTCGTGAAAAACCAAACACCCTTTTGAAAAGATCTTTAGCCTGTTAGAACTTTAGCCCTTTTGCCTCAATCTTATTGTTAAGATCGTAAAATAAGCAAGGAATACTTATTCAGATAAACCCTTGTACGCAAAACTTCAAAAAAATTTGCCCGCGGCGCTTTGTGACGGCGCTAGAAACGATAAGGTTGCCCAGGGGCCAATCGGCAAAAGCCATGTTTTGGGTGGGGTTCGAACTCGGGAGCCAAGTCTTCCCAGTACAGCGTGCTACCCACTAGTGGGGAGACCGGAGGCCTGTCTTGGGGATGCTAGACCCGCCCGCCCTGATTCGGGACTGGGGCCGCCAAAGGGGAGGGTGGCGCCCCGTATGGTGAAGGTTTAAAGTTATAATATCTCAGACAAGAAGCATTCTTTCGATGCAATTTCTTCTTTACTTTTTCCGGCAAGGTCTAATTCCTATTTGAGAAAAATTTCAGCCCAAACGG